TGTTAGGTTCAAACGGAGATTTCCTTCACAGATTGGCATGGAGTGAGGATTTCTCTGGGACCTGTGGTCTTTCCCCACCCCTGTTTCATGGGGAGGGTTTTCTGATCGTAATGGGTCATTTTAGGCAGATTTCAACGAGTCAACCTTCAGGTCCCCTGCAGTGACACAGATTTTTAAATGAGTATGCATGGATTATTTGTCCATGTCAGTCATGGAGGTGTTTACAGTCAGGAGCCTAGGGGTGTGGCTGATGTAGCCGAATTTGACCTCATTAGAAAATTAGGCTTGGTTTACCTACTTTTAAAGTAATTTAAAATAATGTGCGCTTAGGACATAAAAATAGGTTACTAGTTAAATTAGACAACCTCTAAATTTTAGACTAAAAGGTTTACTTATTTGCTAATGGACAAATGATAATATACAATAAAATTGAACAGCAAAGTTTTGTGATGCAGTAGCTAAGGTGTTACCTTTTTCTCGGTTTACAGCCAATCCTTTGTTTGTTTGTTTGTTTTTTTCGGGACTAAATTTGTCCCGAAGGGAGGATTATGTAGTGTCTGAAAGTGGAGGCCTCTTCTCAGGAATGCACAGATGTACTATGACTGTGTTAGACCCCAGCTTTAGAACTCTGCACATCTTGCCATATTAGGAAAGGAATGCTTAAGATATACCGTGACAAAATTTATGGTGCATCTGTTGGACTGCACTGTGAAACCTATAAAAAGGCTTGTACGCCCCTACTCTTGGCCTTCGCCTTCATCTTTTTTTGCTGCTGATTCATTTGGCTTAGAAGGCCACAGTTTGGTTTTTGGCTGTAAATCTCCTGGATTGCAAAAAAAAAGATTCTTGCTGTTCAACCAGCCTGTTTCAGAGTTTCTCTCTTCAGGAACAACAACAGTTTGCAGAGCCAAGAAGACCCGGCTTTACACCTCACTTTGCATAAAGATTCAACTGTGTGTTGTTTTATCTGTGTCTGGTGGATGTAGAAATGGTTTATGAGATTTTAGCCAAGATTCTGACGTTTCTATAGATACCACACATGTCTATGTTTACCTATGAGAACGTTGGTTAATAAAGAAAGCAAAAAAAAAAAAATACGATTTTGCTCCCGCCGGCAGGGGCATGGGGCTTAAGATGTTAAAGTCCATTTTTAACTGCACAGGATTTTTTTTATATTATTGATATTGTAACGCTTCTACGTTTGTGCGTGGAGTTTTAGGTCAAGGATGAGTCTTTGATAAACTCAAGAACAACTTTTTATTCAGGTGCTGCTGTAGGCCACAGCCACGCCGTACAGAGAGCAACCAAACAGGCCAAAAAAAAGACACTCTCTCTTTTTATCCACTCCACCCAGCCCCTCCTCTCTCACATAAAACTCGCGTGAACCTCTCATTCCCAAGCTGTTATATGAAAATGTACAACTCTAGAAATGATACGGTAACAATCTAACTCTGAACACGCTACAATATCCCCCACCATTGTAGAGTCCTCGACCCCGAGGACAAAGTCTCTGAACCTTGGTGGAAGTCGTCGCTGCCTTCTGGGGCGCCGAGGGGTCATGACCTCCCCAATGTGCCTCTCCTCTGACTAGCTTGACAATCCCTGCCCAGTCCCAGTGTCCTCTGAACTGCTCGTAGCACTCTCCTCTGAAACAGACAACGTGGCTGGTTCGCTCTCATTCCGACCCAGTACCTGAGGAGCAGAGTTGCCCTTGTAAGGTGTGAGACGGTCCCGGACCGCGGTGGAGGGTCTGTCTGTCGCTCCTTCAATAAATAAAGACCCACACTAGCTCCCCTGCCACAAAGTGCCGCCCTTTGGTATTCACATCGTAGTTTCTCTTCTGCCTTATTCCAGCATCTTGAACATGCTTCCTGGCATATTCATGTGCAACGTCCAGCCAATCCTGTAACTGCATAGCATAGGCACGTCCAGCAGGGGTCTCCGGCGCATCAGGAGGCCGTCCAAATGCCAGCTGTGCAGGAGTCCTCAGCCCCCGTCCCAGCATCAAGAGGGCAGGTGTGCAAGAAGTTGAATCCTGGACTGCTGTGCGGCATGCCATAAGGACCAATGGTAGGTGCAGATCCCAGTCATTCTGATAACTAGATGTTATGATGGATAGCTGCTCCACAAGAGTCCGATTAAACTGCTCCACTAGACCATCACTCTGGGGGTGGAGGGGGGTGGTGCGAGTCTTAGCTATATCCAACTTTTCACACATGGTGGAGAAAACTCGAGATTCAAAATTTCTCCCTTGAACACTGGATGGATTTTGGGACCCCAAATCTGCAAAACATCCCCTCAATTAGAGCATCCACCACAGTTCCTGTCTCCTGGTTAGACAGCGCAAAAGGCTCGGACCATTTTGTAAAATAATCCATTGCTGTGAGGATGAAGCGGTTCCCACGCTCAGTACGTGGAAAGGGCCCCATGATGTCCACCCCCAACTGCTGCATGGGTTCACTTGTTGGAAACTTTTGTAACTGGGCCTCTCAAGTGTGCAGGCTGTGTCTGCACCGCTGGTCCCCATATCCGGAAAACAGGTGGGTGAATTAATCGCCTGTGCCACCTCACTCTGAGACACCCCCCCTCGGTAGCATCTGAGGGAGGAACCTCCCCCACACAGCATCTTTGGTGCACCACGGCTAGTTCTGTCTCACCCCGAACATCCCGAGGCCTCATATTGACAATATGCCCATCTCCAAAACTTAGTGTGGCCCTCTTTAAGTCCAACTGATGGTCATGTGCCCTCAGAAAATCCAACCCAAGGACACATTTATCCTGAACATCAGCCAYCCAGACAGGATGTGTGACCTCCTGACCCCCAACTGTGAGTAACAGGTTACCCCTCCCTTGCAATGGTGCTACAGTAACTCCCCAGTCACAGTGCAAAGCTGAATTGCTGTTACCTCCACCTGGGCTCCCGGTGGTATCACCTCCGATCAAACCACTGTCACTGTTGACCATGTGTTCACCAAAGCTGTACATGGAACCCCCTCAATGCATATAGGAATATGGCAGAAGTCCGAAATGGAAGTTCTTCCCACCACAACAATCCCAGACTTCGATATCCAGTTATCTGATGTGATGTTCATCATATGAGGCGTGTGGGACACCAATGTTGGGGTGCGCAGTTTCCCGCCTACTGCACCCCCGGTCTGTTTCCATGTGATCTGGTTTGGTTGGGGCAGTTCTTCAACAAATGCCCAGGGCTCCCACAGCCCCAGCAGAGGCACGTGATCACAGTCGTGGTGGCATCCGCTGATGCTGTTCTGGAGGTAATTTCAGCCCACTTATGAGCTCAGTGACTTCTTCCACCCACACAGGTGTAGCATTTTCCTGCATAGAAATCATCATTTCTGATTAGATTTCACTCGTTCCTATGACAATGGCTCAAAAAGGAAGGAAACCCCCACTTTTCACCTAAAAGACTATTCCTAAGGATTTTGCATGGAACTTCATTTGTGGCTTGAATTAAAATCCCTCACACCTTCACCCACTAGACTTCCTGATGCCTTACAGTTAATTGATCAGAATTGCCACATTTTTGAACCCCCACAAGTTTCGAGTGACCTTATAAGGACAAGACTCTTTGTTCCTCTTCAAAGGGACCATAAATTCCTTTCACCCAACTCTTCAGCTTGAATGAGAACAAAGGAATCTACCATTCTTGATTAAATAAAAAAGAGAACAAGATTGAATGTTTTTATCCAACTGTCTGTTTTCATATATGTGAATCAAAGAAATGTGATTTACCTGTTTCTCTTTACAGAAAGAACAAAACCCATTGAAGCTCTATGTTCTCATTTTTAACCAAGTATTTACACACTAAGAACGCAGTATAAAACTGTGTGGTGTTAATTGTTTTGATGAAATGTTTTCCTGAAGATGTGTGTTTTATTCCATTATTTAATCCTTAGAAATTTAGGACTTGAATTTTAATAATTAAAGAGTAACTTAACCCAAAATTAACTTTTTTTAGCTGATAAACTATCTAGAATGTGTCTAAAATGTTATATAGTAC